ATGACCGGTAAGGGGATCATAACCCTTGACTTGGTGTTGTCAGCACCACGCTCAGCCAGTGAGCGAACCGGCCATCCCTATATATGGGATCCGAACCCGTGGCCTTGGTGTTATCAGCACCGCACTCTCCCGAGTGAGCCACCGGGCCGGCCCCAGAATGTAGCATTTTAATGTAGGTGTTTACAAGTATAAATTTGCCTCTAAGCACTGCATGAGCCCTGCATCTGATAAATTTTGATATGTTGCACTTTGATTTTTATCTCAAAATATTCTCTAATTTCTCTGTGATGTTTCTTTTTACCCATAGTCTATTTAGGAGAGTGTTGTTTAATTTCCACACATTTGTGAATTTTCTAAATTTCCTTCTGTTATTGTTGTCAGAGAACATATTTTCTATGATCTTGGTCTTTTTAAATGTATTAAGACTTGTTTTGTGGCCAAAAGTAAAAAATAATTTTTTTATAATTAGAAAAAAAAAAAAAAAGAAAAGAAATGAATGGCATCCAGACTGGAAAAGATGAAGTCAAACTGTCCTTGTATGAAGATGACACGATCCTATATATAGAAAAACCTAAAGACTCCACCAAAAAATTATTAGGGTTGATAAATGGTTTCATTAAAATTGCAGGATACAAAGTCAACATGCAAAAATCAGTAGCATTTTTACACCTCAATAATGAACTAGCAGAAAAAGAAATCAAGAAAGCAAGCCCACTTACAATAGTCACCAAAAAAATAAAATACCTAGGAATCAATTTAACCAAGGAAGTGAAAGATCTCTACAGTGAGAATTATAAATCGCAACTGAAAGAAATTAAAGAGGACACAAAAAGATGGAAAGACATTTCATGCTCTTGAATTGGAAAAATTAACATTGTGAAAATGTCTATACTACTCAAAGCAATCTACAGATTCAATGTAATCTCATCAAGATAGCAATGACATTCTTCACAGAAATAGAAAAAGCAATCCTAATATTCATATGGAACAACAAAAGACCCTGAATAGCAAAAGCAATCCTGAGCAAAAAAAGTAAAGCCAGAGACATGACACTACCTGACTTCAAATTATATACTACAAAGCTATAGCATGTTATTGAGGTATAAATCTCACATCAGTTAGACTGGCCAGTATCAAAAAGACAGAGAATAACAAATGTTGGTGAAGATGTGGAGAAAGGGAAACCCTCCTACATTGTTGGTGGGACTGTAAATTAGTGCAGCTATTACAGAAAACAGTATGGAGATTCCTCAAACAACCACAGATAGAACTGCCATACAATCCAGCAATCAGCTGCTAAGTATATACCCAAAGGAATGGAAATCATCATGTCAAAGGGATACCTGCACTCCCATGTTTATTGTAGCTCTACTTACAATAATTAAGAGTTGGAACCAACCTAAATGTCCACTGATGGACAACTGGATAAGGAAAATGTGGTATACATGGACAATGGAATACTACTCTGCCATAAAAAGGGATGAAATTCTGCCATTTGCAGCAACATGAATGAACTTAGAGAAAATTATGTGAAGTGAAATAAGCCAGGTACAGAAAGAGAAATACCATGTCCTCACTCATAAGTGAGAGCTAGAAAAAAAAAAAAAAGAAAGAAAGAAACAACAATCACAATAGATCTTTGAACTTTCAGAAGAAGAGAATGGAACTCAGGCCACCAGAGATAGGAAAAGGGAAGAGGAAGAGAGCGAGAAATTGTTAAAGAACCACAAAAAATGTTTACATTGTGTAAGGATAAAACAAACAAAAATAAATAATTTTTAAAAAGTAATGTTAAAAAAATAGATTTAATAGGAAATGAAAATCTGAAGATGGCTTGGTAAATAACTAATAAAGCCTTAAGGATCAAAACAATAGATATTGGCTAGGGGGAAAAGGCTGATAGGAATAACGAAAATAGAAGAAAATGAAGGTTATCTTACACAATAATGCTGAAATCACAGAAGGAAAAAATGTGCCTAATAATCAGAAAGTTGCTACAGCTAACTAGCCAAATCAAAGAAAACCCAACAAAATCTTGTCCAAGTGTGTAAAACAAATAAGCCCAAGTCAGATGCAAATAAAAATTAGGCAGTCCAAAGGAAAAACTGAAGAAGCCACAGGTGAGAGACCTCAAAGTCAATACTAATTGACTCTAAATACGTTTACAGAAAAAAGAGAATGCATGGAATTATTTAGTCAATACAATATAAAAGATGACTGAAAAAAGAACAGTGAGACTCAACAAACTCCTTCCTACTAAAGATGACCTTAAGATTTCTGAACACCAATTAATTTTCATATTAGTTAGTTAAAAAATATTAGATCAACTACAGTATAATGACAAGTTCAAAGAATGCTTTAAGCCAAATTGACAAAATGGATATAAATAGATCTCAGGTGGCATTCACCTAAGACTTGTAAACTTAAAGATAGAACTGAGAAAATATTAGATAAAGTAGGTACAAATGGCCTCTGCCAGAGCATTCTTGGAAAGTCACCATAACTTCCAGCTATTGGAAATGATGACCTAGAGAACTCTAGTTTGGTAGCCTATTTTCTACACTTGAAAAGGTGGTGAAATCTATATAGTATCATATTAATGCACAAAGCTTGCTAGAAAAAAGAGAGCAAATTGCTTGTGTAAGAGAAAAGGCATACTTCACTACCTTGATATCTTTCTTTCATGGGAATAAAGCAAACACTTTTGAAAACAAAATTACCATGACTTTATATTTAGAATATAAAATTACTTGAAAGAAACAATAAAAAAGGAAGGTATAGGGCTGGCCCAGTGGCGCACTGGAGAGTGCGCCGATTGGGAGCGCGGTGGCGCTCCCGCTGAGGGTTCGGATCCCATGTGGAGACCGGTTCCCGCTCACTGGCTGAACGCGGTGCGGGCGCAACACCGAGGGTTGCGATCCCATTGCCAGTCCCCGGTACGGGCGCGACACCGAGCATTGCGATCCCGTTACCAGTCAGTAAAAAAAGACAAAAAGGAAAAAAAAAAAAAGGAAGGTATAAAAATCAGCATCTGCTGCTGAAAACTATAATACACCAAGAGATTTGTGCTATAATTTGCTCTTAACAGCTTTAAAAATGATTTAGAACATGAAATATATGGTAAAAAATTTCCAAATTTGCAAATGATACTAACTCCTCTAAGTAACATAATGCCAAGCTGATGAGAACAAACTAAAAGAATATATTTCAAAGTTGTATAATTGGGCAGCCACAGTAGCAGATAAATCTCACCACTTATTAAGGTATATATGTGGGAAAATAATTTCCAAATTATGATTATGAGATAATTTTCTCTATTTATCATTTGAGATCCAAGAAAGGAATCTTTGCTGACACTAGATATCACCAGAAATATGGGATACTGTAAAAACGAATAGGAAACAAAAAATCAAAATTATCTTGTCTTACATTTGGTTATTGTTGTATATGGCTCTGAAATGCTACCTATAATCCTGCCTATTATACTTAAATACAATGTCATGGATGCAAGAAGCCTACCAACATTAGAAGAAAATCTTTTAATTTCCAGCCACCCCATATCTTTGTTCATAATGGCATAAAATTAATATTTTGTATAAAATGTCACCTGCTTCAAATAAGTACATGATAAGTCTGTTCCTGGGAAGAGAAAACATACAGCATGTAACAGTGGATAGAAGCAGAACAAAATGAGATGTTGGGAAAAGGGATAAAAAGAAGAAACATGTATTTTGAAAACAGAAATCACAAACAACATAGCAGAACACTAAGGTAAGTGAACAAAGGCATAATTAAGCCTAGGTTGAAATATAGATACTAACAAACAGTGAAGGGTGAGAGTGCCTGACGGTGCTGGGAGAGAACAGGGTTATAGGATCAGGTTTCTGCATCTTTTTTCTTTTTTTTTTTTTTCCTTTTTGTCTTTTTTTACTGACTGGTAACGGGATCGCAACCCTCGGTGTCGCGCTGGTACCAGGGACCGGCAACGGGATCGCAACCCTTGGTGTTGCGCCCGCACCGCGCTCAGCCAGTGAGTGGAACCGGTCTCCACATGGGATCCGAACCCTCAGCGGGAGCGCCACCACACTCCCAAGCGGGGCTCTCTCCAGTGCGCCACCAGGCCGGCCCGAGGTTTCTGCATCTTTCTCTTGAGCCTAGACACCTGTAATGTGACTTTATTGCTATTGATTGCTAAAATGATACATAAAATAAACATTTAAAATGTATAAGATTCTAATAAGTGAATTTCCAGGATATCTAAACCTCTCAGCTCATAGGGATGGTTTTACTGCCAGAAGGATCTGAGTAGGTAGAAACTGGAAAGCAGTAGTTTTAAGACAAATGATAGCAAATAGAGAATTTGTAAATCTGTCCCTAAGAGATGGTTAAAACAGGTTCTGGAAGAACAAACTAATGATGGATAACACTATAACAAGTTATTAAGGTATTAGTTTCTCAATTTTGGTTTCTTAAAGTCAACAGACAGGAATGTTGTAAAGGACTGATAATAGAGGAGAAATTCAAGGAGAGACAATATAATAAACCAAACAAATATTTGGTGGAAAACAGACTACTTCCATTACTTTTCTAGAGCAGCAAAAGAATGGTTTTAACGGATCAGTATAATTACTAAGTTCCAGGACAGGATGCCTCATATTCCATTAGCAAGGCATTCTTATATGCTGATAGTAAAAAGACACTCCTATTTCCTATTGAATTACCTTAGTCATTTCCTGCATTATCTATGGGCTCATACTGATTTGCTTAAAAGGTCAGAGGTTTTACACGGATTATTTGCTACTCTGGCAAACCAAATGCTTTGATGTCTGCTGAAAATTTTCCTTCTCCTATTTAATATTCTCACTTTCCCTCTCTTGATTTTTTCCCTTAATATCATTGTTCTAAATTCTTAAATCTAACAGAAACAAAAGTTCAACTTAAGAGGTAAAATTATTACACAGCTATTAAAAAAATTGTGAAGTATAATAAAACCAACTCACCAACCGGATGAGTGATGGTGTTCTGTAAGCTGGGAATTACCACAGAGTAGGTAGGTGAGCGATAAGGATAAATTGTTGTAGGATTTGTAGAGATGATATTCTGTGTGGTACCAGAAAATACATTGGAAACACTTAGAGGGAAGCGTTTTCGCTTCCCTGGACGAGGCTGATAAACCCAACCTATAGAAGAAGATAAACTATTTTTAATATAAATGTATAGACCCTATTTAGCCTTTAAATAGTTCTTTTCATATTAAAAACTTCAGTTTTTTAAAAAATAAGTTGTCTAAAGTATCTTCTCCAGGTCTGTGATATTATTTCTGTGAATGTCACTTCCACTGTGCATTTTAACATACATAGCTATATTGCTCCTAACTAGTGGCCAATGTTGTAACTCATAGTTGAAAGGAAGAGGAAGGTCAAATGTTTTATATCCAATTACATATATCGAATCTGTAGTAGAACTAACATCAGAGCCACTAAGCTCAAATTCCAAAGCCTTTCCTCTCCTATAGAACAATGCCTCTAGTAAAACATTATTCATCTCCTCCTGTTACCTCACTTTCTGTAAGGTACCATTGTATGTATCTTACAATGCAATAGTCACTAATGACCAGTCACTATTTTTATGCTTAGTTCAGGAAGAGTCACTCTCCTAGACTCGGCAACCTCCAAATCCACAAACAACTCAATTTCCTTCCAAAGTCAGAAGAGTGGAGTTATAGCAATTGCAGCCACGGTATAACTAAAAAGAATCACTGGTTCCCTGTAGTTGCTGCCTCTAATCTTCGCTCCTACAATATTTCTGTTCATATTTCAGAAAAAAATAATTATTTTCCCACCATGCAGACTCATGTTGGACATACACTGTGCATTTTCCCAAGCATAATCTCAATGACCTCACTGCTGGGGAGGAAGCAGACTCATTACAAACTATATCACGATGGGGATAAACCTATCAGTTAGAAGGCAGAACTATGTTTTGATAACCATATAATATTAAAATGGAGCATGGTATTAATTCCTGCATTCTCATTATCTTTAAGTGTGTTACTGCAAATTTTTTTCTGGTGCTCTTATTTTAACACTTCTAATATAGCCTAGGACTCGAGATTTATCTTCATTAAATTTATATCTATACATTTAATCAACACCACAGTAAAACTGTATGTCCCCTGGTTTGTACAAGTTGGTAAATATGAGACCAGATATACTCCTAATCGGTTCCGTTTAAGGAAACTTATGCCCAGTATCAATGCAATCATTACTATAATATTAGCCATTGTTCTCTTTATAGTACATTGGTAAATATGAGACCAGATATACTCCTAATCGGTTCCGTTTAAGGAAACTTATGCCCAGTACCAATGCAATCATTACTATAATATTAGCCATTGTTCTCTTTATAGTACATATGAGATTAGAAAAAATACACATTTTTGTCTTTCAATCTCAACCTAACCTATTCTTTACCTAAATAATTAATTTAAAAGAAATTAGAAAGAGGCTTTGTTCATTTCATTTGATTACCAGGAAATTCCTCTCTGTGCTTTTCTTTAATCTTCTGTGCTTCATCATAATAGGGTTTCTTTTGTTCTTCACTAAGTTTGTTCCACTCTAACCCAAGCTGGACACTGATTTCTGCATTGTTGGCTGCTGGGTTAGCTTTGGCTAGTGCTGGTCGGTGGATCCTTGCCCAAACCATAAACGCATTCATAGGTCGCTTCACATGACCATTTCTGTCCTTACTGAAGGGAGTATCTGGTATTCCTACATGACAAAAATTGAGACTAAATTTATGTGCCACACACACACACACATACACACACAATTTTAAAGTGAAGTGCACCTCCATGTGTATACTTATTTTTAAATATCTGTAGAAAACATACATTTCAAAGAACTGCTGATAATCTAGAGTTCCTTGTAACCTCTGAACTCAGTATTCTAACCTGTAGCTTAAAATGACTCTCCTTTTCCTCAAAGAGAATAACGTTGAAGATACTGTGGAATTAATAATGTTGAAGACACAATAAATTGATGGCTTATTAATTCTTTGAGCTTCATTAATACTTCTAACAATAATTAACATTTAGTTTATTTCCCACTAAAAAAATTCTACCATTGGGGGTAGGAACTATGAATTATTCATGACTGTAATCCCAGCACCAGGTAGGTGTTCCCTAAATGTTTAAAGGAACTCATTTACATGCCACTGTAGTATCCTTTCAAGCAAAAATATTTACAATATGATAATACTATATTAGCTGTATTTCACTATGAAGGTGAAGCTCCTGCCAAGGTAAGTCTCACATCCTGGGAGAAAAATAAGAAAAAAATAATAAAAGTGACTTTTTGAGAGTCACAGAGCCAGCTGAAATTATAATAAACTTGGCTAAATTCGCATGTCCTATAATGCTCATTAAAAATAACTGTCTAAAATAAAACATAACAATAATAAAATAACTGTCTATTAACTTATATTGTTTCCCTTTATTATAGGGTTACTTGATATATAAATATTGTTAAAAACATGCAAAGGATGACATACATAGTACAAAGAAAGTTTTCCCTTTCTTTCCTTTAGAAAATGAAAATAAAGTCGAAAAAGTACCAAAGACAAAAACAAGAGGGTAGGGTGAGGTTAAAGAATCAGTAAAGAAAATCAAAACAAAAACAATAAACATAAAAGTGAATGAAAATATGAATCAAAGATTAATATGACTTTCCAAGACATTCATTAGCTTAGTGTTCTGTCTGAACTAAATCTTAAAGTAAGAATTTGCTATTTGGAAAGACTGGATAGAAATAAAATACCTATTAGTAGTTGTTATTGTGGTAACACTTAAAAACAATGTTTCTAGCTTACTCAATAGTATTTTCATTTTCAATATTTCTATAAGTCCTTAGTTTTTAGAAGAATAAATACCAAAGGGTTACATTTAATCATGCATTGTTTTCTCCTAGAAAAATGTTTACTCTCATTTTTAAAGAAGATAAGTTCTATAATTGATATAAGCTTTCCTGTTTATAATTTTTTTTTCACTAAACACCATTGTTTCTATTTATTTTTTATTTTTTAGAGGGTGGTGTCTGGCCAGATGAACCCTGGACCTTGGTGTTAGTAGACAGTCACAC